TTTGCTTTGCTTTCTATGTTACTGAAAACATAAAGTCACCCGGAAATATATACACGTCTAAAATTACCTCCCTCCATCAACCTCCAGCTCACTCCGCAGGCATTTTAACAACAACGTCAAACGTAAATATGCTACTTTCAGCCTTTCTCTGTTTTCTAACCAGGAGATAATCAGACCTTGTTCAAAACTACAATGTACAATACTCCCTAATATCACTACCAGAGTGAAATATGGAGTAGCCTGTACACAGAATTTTGAAAACATTGGCGAGTTCGCGAGCGAAGCGAGCGCGCGAGAACAAACGCGTAGCGCGAGAAAGATATATTTCTTCTTCCCCCACCACTAGCCCCTTGCGCTGGGTCTGTGACGGGCTACATATGGAGACATACAATTAATTTATGCAAACTTGTCCACACCTCAAAATAGAACGTTCAGGTTTGTAGATTTCGTCCACCAACACGAGAACTTGTAACTTGAACACATGTATAAGTAACAGTCTTCCGAGACTGGATAATTTTGTGAAGACAGTGTCTAATCGTCGCAAGTCGCGGGTGGCGGGTAAATTGTCGCGGGTCGCGGGTAACATGTTTAGATTCTCCCTTTTGTGAAGGGGTAAATGTTAGTGTTGTGTGGACAATGTTTTTGTAACGTACAGGTTTGCATGCATATGCATGGGCTTTCAAGCTACTACAAGTAAGGTAACGAGAAAGGATAAATGCGTTGCATTTTAGTTGTATGTGCTGTTTATTATGTTGTACAATGTGGTTCTAAGTCATTTGGCTGTGGATAAAATCCTAAGTGCGACTATTCAAATGAAAACTGCTGAGAGGTACTTTCCGGTACACTGAGCACCGTTAATTATGCTGCACAAGGTGGTTCTAACTTTTGAGTCTGTTTATGAAGTCTTAAAGTGTGCCCATTTTAATGTAAGCTACGTAAGGTATAAGTTCTGATCCCCTGATAATGAAAACTGATCAACAAAGTCATTTTCTGCCTCACAAAAGGTACCCACACGCAACACGAAAGGAAAAAGAGAAATATAACAAGCAGACGGCCAATACAAAGGATTCCAATCAAACCGTCTCAATTGAACGGATTTTCAAAGTTAATCGCACCTGTCAATCGCAGCTTTTATTTTTACGCCATCTACATTATTAAAAAATAGCTCTCTCCCGTTTGGATTTAGCTCCTTATTACGCTGAAACGGAGTTTGCGTTTTGTCTGACTTAGACACATCTGAAAATGACGGACGGCGAAGGGCTCAATTAGCTTCACATACTCTAACTATACTGAAGAATTTTTGGACCCAAGAAAGCGCGGTTTCATTGTGGACATGAAAAATGATATGAACTCGATATTGTGAAGGAACACACTATGTTCCTTTACGAAAACAAGCCGTTTTCAAATTTATCGCCTATTGATCTGACCGGTTAATTAAACGAGGTCTTACTTAGACCGTAGTTTAACACAACCGATGGACTTCCAGATCTGTTAAGTTTCCTCCTGGGTTATAGTAAGCGAAGAAGCGGACGCGCAACCTTATTATTTTTTTTCCGGTTGCCCCCAGTCCCATGGTTCCTTGCTTCCAGTGAAACCTTTCCACGTTCTTTTAGGCGCCTGAATACAGGGCAGATTCGCTCCTCATTTTAGTTAAACTCTCTGTTTTCTTGATAAGCAAGTGTTTCTGTTGTTGTTGGTACGACAAAATTTTGCCTTAATTTTACATTTTATTATTACTGACAAATTGCAGAAGGTGTACAAGTTGCAGTAAAGTTGCATGCATTATTGAAATGTACACAATAACTAAGACTTTAAATCAAAATACTAATACAGAGCCTAGTTTACAATAATCAAAGTAAAATGTTATTTTTGTTCACTAAACTGTGACTAATTTGCCTAGTTTGCTTTGAAGATCAACAGATTTCCCCTAAGTTTGCTGTTCTGGCCTCTGATGTCTATACAGCCACTATTACGGAAATACTCGAACGAAAGACAAGAGCTACAAGATTAGTAGGTATCGCTTCTAAAGATCAGAGTGTGATTCAGTGAAGTTGACTCATTATCCAAAGGTCAACAAGTCATAAAAAAAATAAGGACAAAACCACGCCCCCATCATATTGCCACTTTCACCAGGATTGGAAAGATCAACTGAATGATCAGACTTACAGTTAATAACGATATTACAGCGATACCACTCAACACTTATATTTATCAGATGAGCATGGTAATTTTTTCATTGGTTTTGCAACAATTCAACTGATTATGAGGTTAGTATTTTGATAATAGAGACCTTTACATTCTAATGGTTGATTTCCACTGACGCCTTTTTAGCGACGCACGTAAATCTTAACCACGTAAATAGAATAGAGGCTAGATATAAAGTGTTGAGTTTAAACGTGAAGTTGAGCGAGGTTCTACTTTGACGCTTACGGGCAACCTTTCATACATTGCCTCTATTTTATTCGCGAACGTAAATTTTACGCACGTACGCGCGTAAAAATTACGCAACACTGGAAATTAACCCAAAGACGAAGACGACTAAGCAATGGCGCGCGTCAACCGGAAGTGAGCCTCTTTTTCTTTAAATTTGCCATAACGCTTCCAAAGTTGTATTGCTAATCGTTTATAATCTCATAAAGACGATCTGACTGAAAATGTAAGGAAAACCACTGCCCAAGAATGAAAACCAGTCACTTCCGGTTGACGTGCGTCGCTCGAAAACGTCTTTTTGTAAAGGGACTTCACTGGCGAAAAATGTCTACGGTTCAGCGCATGCTCATTTATCAAAATGCTTTTTTTCTGCTGGGACATGCTGTATCGTCTATCTAAGCAATATGATCATGTCATGTGTTGTCAAAGAGCCAATCTGCACACTCCCCCTGGCAGCCACTTGATCAACGTATGCGCAAATAGCTGTAAATTCATCAACCATGGAATAAAACCTTCGGGTCAACAATAAATTCAATGTTGGTAGTGTTGGCATAATCCACTAATTTTTTCTGCGATTTTAGTGCTCCTCCATCCTACTTCAGGTTACTCTGAAATACACTTTTACTTTGAAATACACTCTGAGATCGCTGAGATCTGGTGGGGGTTATCAACCGATAAAATTAATAAGAAATTAGAAAAAAAGTAATTTAATTAATCAGCATGCGCTGAACCGTGAACCTGTTCCTTTAAACTCACTAATACTAAGTAGTGCGTGGGCATGAACCATCGTTACTTTGGGGGGAAAACGTGACAGTCTTCGTTATTCTACTACGAGTTTTAGCTGGAATGTCGAAGTAGCGAAAACAACTGGATCAAATGTTAGAAGCTTTACACCTTGGGATCGAGAGCCTGCGTAGGAAGCGTTTCCAATCTAGTTATTGGAAGGCTAATCGAGAGAGGGCTTATACTCCCTCAGTAAAAATAACAGTGCTAACTTTTCTGCTAAAAAAAAGTACAATGAAGCTTTCTGGGGTGTATATTTTGTAAGATTACGCAAATAACCTGTAAGTCAAATGTCTTCCTCCTAGTTGTTCTCGTCCTCAAATCTAAATTTATCTTATGTTACTGAATTAAATAAAATTTTAGAAAACAAAAGTGGAAGACGCTTGACTAAAAAATATTTTTAGATGCATTGAAGGAGAGAAAAAGCTTTCTCGTTACTATGTGACTAATAAGTTTGCAGCACTTTAAAACATTTTTTGTGAGAATTCTTGGTGAATTGCTTCGACGTTCTTCCACAAAGCAATTGAACATTTTTTCTTTTTATCATGACAGTACGCAACGATGCAAATTAAATAATTAAGGACTAATAGTGAGCCACGCTCCAGTTACCCTGTCGATACTACGGTAGATGAGTACACCTCACTCAGAAATTGGCACGTGTGGTAGAGGGCAGCGCAAAGAAATACGGTTGAACCTCTCGACAAGGACCATCTTGAAGACGGAGGTATACCGCAATTTCAAGAAAAGTTGTCGAAAAAGGTGCACGCGAAAATCCCGAAAAGTATTGAGGGTGGTTTTGAGTTCACTATTCTTCAAATAAATTTGAAATAATGGCACGAGAGGCTATGGACGTATGTTTGCGAGTGGTAATGAAGGAAAGCAACAAAAGCAGGTTCGACAGCTACAGAGTCAGGAACAGTCTGTTAATCATATCTCATATTTCCTTTCGGGATTGTCGCGTGCACACTTTTTTCAGACAACCTTTCTCGAAAAAGCTGTAGATGTCCGTTGTAGAGAGGAAACTGTCGTGGAGAGGCAGAAGTGTGAACCAGTTGGAAATCGTGCATTCTACGCGCAACTGTACTTGACAATAAGTCAGTTATCTCCTAGCACCGAGATAACTAACTTATCTGTAGGTTGCGCCGAGTTTCAAATTAATTGTAGGCTCTTAGCCAGTGAGAAGACACATGGTCAGTACATTGTATAATAGTGCTTATATACGTCCTTTGCTGGGCAAAAATCTTTGTTTACCTTATTGTAGGGGTACTCAAGGACGTATGGAAGCTATGTTTTTATCAACCTTTTAAACCCCTTCTTACCCTGCGAGCAGAGGCCCTTCGAGACTTATCTCGGAAGATCGAAGGGCCTCTGCTCGCAGGGTAACTCCTTCTTTGTGTCGAGTTTCTTCTCTTCTAGATTTCCTTCTTGGTTAGGGCTACAGTTCAGTTCTAAGATTACACAAACGTACTTGCAAATATGCTATTTATCGCAAAGCATGAATTCGAAACCCGCTTAACTCATTACTCGACAGTAAATAGAAATAATATGTCAAACGCTTTGAAGAAAGAATTTTGAAAATGACTTTCAAATTTGTAACAGAAGTATTAGCTGATAAGCCACGACATAGAAACGTTTTTTCATAAGAAACGATCTTTGAATAATTACCTCTTAATGCCTTTGACCGCATTACCACCCCCCTCCTCAAGTCTTACCGAACAGCTCTCTGATAAGAATTTCAATGTGTATTTAATGAGATTGAAAACACACAGCCTAAAGGCTTTTGAGCTTTAACAACCACAACAACCACCGCATCCAAAATCGTCGTCACCGTCGCCATCTCCATCACCGTCGCCGCCTCCGTCGCCTCCACAACCGCCGCTACCGCACGCACTACAGCCACCGCATCCACCACACCCACCGCATCCACCACACCCACTACAATCGCCACTCGTGCCGTCTCGGATAGTAAAAGCATAGTACCCGGCAGCTAAAACAAGCTTCATGTTTTCATTGTCTATCCTACGTGGTTTGCTTAACTTCAGGGGGATAGTTTGGTGCGGTTTCGCTGTTGGTTGGTATGGCTGGCAAAGGAGGTGAAGCATGGCAATTGCAAAGCCTAGCGCTATCGACTCTGGTACATGATCTACTTTTTCTGGAAATGAAATCTCACCCGTTGTAAGGTCCACTGTCCACTTGCCTCCAGGGAGTGAAATCGAAAATATCGTCGGATGGTACCGGTTGTGGACCTCTCTCCATTCATTTGTCTCAAAAAGAGGAAAGAACTTGATGCTGAGATTACCTGGATTGCCGGGTATGCCACGGGTTCCCCTTGTGCCTGGTCCATTTGGAGCCACACCAGGAACACCTCTGACGTACCCCTCCCATTTTCCAATGCATATTCCCCAATCCTTGCTCCCTCTTATCAAGAAAGCCCTTTCTCCATCATTTAAAGTGCAATTTGTCTCCTTGTTGCTGACTTGATTTTGCCTTGGAAGTACCTGGTTTTGGATGAGATGGGCTGTACTTACAACGTTTCCGTCATTGTTAACCACCTCAACTGAAGAAAGCTGTAAAGCCACAGAGTGCATAACTCGGTATGTAAACGCTTCTCGGTTGTGACTGTCAAATACCTGACCCGTTGACGTTTCACAAGAGGCTTCTGGTAAACTAGCCAATGAAGCTGGAGAGAGGAATAGCGTCAAAGACTCTGAAATCTTGGAAGGGTCACGGAGAGGCTGAAAGGTTTTAGGTGGTTTTACTGTAAAAGAGTAGTTACCAGGCAAACGTGAAGGTGGATGAGTGACGACAGTAAGTCTAATAGAGGTTTGATCATTAAACCAAAATTCATGTTTCTTTACATCAGTTTCGACGAATTCTTTCGGGATGCCGTCGAGATTACAAGGAATGTTAAAGGATGTTCTGACGTGATCAGGAGGGCGTTTCAAACAAGACATCGAGGCTCGACATCGACGGCAAAAGCTTGCCTCTACCTGTAGAGAGTGATAAAGTTCGTTAAACGAAAATTTGTTAACTGTTAACTATCAAAGGCCTACTTGGAATTGATTGAGCCATTAATGCCTCACGTTTAATTAATTTAATTGCATAGATTAAAACCATTTTCATTCATGTAGCTAGCAAAACAAAAGGAAAACCTTGGCCTAAAAACGGTTGACATGGTGGTTACCACTTTAGTGCTACGTCTTTTCCGTAGTTGTGCGTGAAATGTATCTTAGTCTGTGTTTACGGAATCACTAAAACTTGACGAGCTCTCGATGTCCGGATGTCGTTCGATCTGGAAAAAAACACTGTCACTTTTATTCAAGCGAAGTCTTATTCATTCATAAATATTCAAAAGGACATACTCTTACTAGGTACTCGGGAGACGGATGTTTGCTCAATTGACTATAAATCTTTAAGAAGGAAAAAGGCCCTCTACCTGGATAAAATTACTTCTGCTTGTATCAAACTCAAATCTTTCAGTTAGAGGATTTCCGGAACTTTCGTGAAAATAGGCAACTGGCCCCTTAATTNCACACCAGGAACACCTCTGACGTACCCCTCCCATTTTCCAATGCATATTCCCCAATCCTTGCTCCCTCTTATCAAGAAAGCCCTTTCTCCATCATTTAAAGTGCAATTTGTCTCCTTGTTGCTGACTTGATTTTGCCTTGGAAGTACCTGGTTTTGGATGAGATGGGCTGTACTTACAACGTTTCCGTCATTGTTAACCACCTCAACTGAAGAAAGCTGTAAAGCCACAGAGTGCATAACTCGGTATGTAAACGCTTCTCGGTTGTGACTGTCAAATACCTGACCCGTTGACGTTTCACAAGAGGCTTCTGGTAAACTAGCCAATGAAGCTGGAGAGATGAATAGCGTCAAAGACTCTGAAATCTTGGAAGGGTCACGGAGAGGCTGAAAGGTTTTAGGTGGTTTTACTGTAAAAGAGTAGTTACCAGGCAAACGTGAAGGTGGATGAGTGACGACAGTAAGTCTAATAGAGGTTTGATCATTAAACCAAAATTCATGTTTCTTTACATCAGTTTCGACGAATTCTTTCGGGATGCCGTCGAGATTACAAGGAATGTTAAAGGATGTTCTGACGTGATCAGGAGGGCGTTTCAAACAAGACATCGAGGCTCGACATCGACGGCAAAAGCTTGCCTCTACCTGTAGAGAGTGATAAAGTTCGTTAAACGAAAATTTGTTAACTGTTAACTATCAAAGGCCTACTTGGAATTGATTGAGCCATTAATGCCTCACGTTTAATTAATTTAATTGCATAGATTAAAACCATTTTCATTCATGTAGCTAGCAAAACAAAAGGAAAACCTTGGCCTAAAAACGGTTGACATGGTGGTTACCACTTTAGTGCTACGTCTTTTCCGTAGTTGTGCGTGAAATGTATCTTAGTCTGTGTTTACGGAATCACTAAAACTTGACGAGCTCTCGATGTCCGGATGTCGTTCGATCTGGAAAAAAACACTGTCACTTTTATTCAAGCGAAGTCTTATTCATTCATAAATATTCAAAAGGACATACTCTTACTAGGTACTCGGGAGACGGATGTTTGCTCAATTGACTATAAATCTTTAAGAAGGAAAAAGGCCCTCTACCTGGATAAAATTACTTCTGCTTGTATCAAACTCAAATCTTTCAGTTAGAGGATTTCCGGAACTTTCGTGAAAATAGGCAACTGGCCCCTTAATTTCTTTGCTTAACTGTCTTCCATTAGCACCGAAGCTTCCACGGAAACTTATTTGGACTAGGTATAACTTCGGCTTTGGAAGACCTTGAATCTCTACTTCGTTTACATCTACTAAGGATGTAAATCTTGATTTTGCCATTGAGGAATAATCGATGGGGTTACGATTTTCAGCAATGTTCAAAGGAGGTTCCCCTCGAAATGTGGCTCCATTCGTCGTAAAATTCCTGCCAAAAGCCTTCCATATCTTTCTTGTAGCTTTCGCAGATGTTACAAGTTTAGAACCTGGTCGACGATCGTTTACAGAATCATCATGGTTCAGCACTCTTCCCAGGATTTTCATGGTGTCCGTCCTGTAGGCCAGTGGATGAACTTGGTGCGCATGCCACATAAGGTCAAAGTCGTAACACGGGACCAGAAATGTATTCGGATGTTGTCGTTTGAATCTCAGATGTTGTTTATATCGTTCAAGTGCATCTCTAAGAAACCTTTTGTCCCCATAATGTGGTAAGAAAACCTGATAATTAAAGACCCTCTGACGACTGCTTGAAGCCACGATATCATATTGGATTCTTGACACATGAGACATCTCGTTACCAACAGGGGCTGTCAGGTCAACTTCAAAAGGCTCATTGCCGTACAGTTGGTGCCATAAGAGCTTCGCCCTTTGAAGTCCAGCCTCGCGCTCTCCTCCAACAATGGTTTTGTGGTCCACCAAGGTTGAGACAACCACGTTACAATCCCTTTCATACGCGAGAGGTGAAAGCATATGCACGTGCCAAACCCAAGCAATGTCGAGGGGAGCAGCAACTGGTACATTTGGGGACTTGGCGAGAAGAGGGAGCCAGAAGACTTCATATCTAAACCCAAAATGGAAATAGACCTTGTAAAAACTACTTGACAGAAATGACCCCATCAAGGCACATGGCAAAAGAAAGAGTGGTGCAAACGTTTGTAGCTAGATTAACGGAAACTTCTATATTACGGACAGTTAACGGATAGTAGTAGTAGTAGTAGTAGTAGTAGTAGTAGTAGTAGTAGTAGTAGTAGTAGTAGTAGTAGTAATAGTAGTAGTAGTAGTAGTAGTAGTAGTAGTAGTAGTAGTAGTAGTAGTAGTAGTAGTAGTAGTAGTAGTAGTAGTAGTAGTAGTAGTAGTAGTAGTAGTAGTAGTAGTAGTAGTAGTAGTAGTAGTAGTAGTAGTAGTAGTAGTAGTAGTAGTAGTAGTAGTAGTAGTAGTAGTAGTAGTAGTAGTAGTAGTAGTAGTAGTAGTAGTAGTAGTAGTAGTAGTAGTAGTAGTAGTAGTAGTAGTAGTAGTAGTAGTAGTAGTAGTAGTAGTAGTAGTAGTAGTAGTAGTAGTAGTAGTAGTAGTAGTAGTAGTAGTAGTAGTAGTAGTAGTAGTAGTAGTAGTAGTAGTAGTAGTAGTAGTAGTAGTAGTAGTAGTAGTAGTAGTAGTAGTAGTAGTAGTAGTAGTAGTAGTAGTAGTAGTAGTAGTAGTAGTAGTAGTAGTAGTAGTAGTAGTAGTAGTAGTAGTAGTAGTAGTAGTAGTAGTAGTAGTAGTAGTAGTAGTAGTAGTAGTAGTAGTAGTAGTAGTAGTAGTAGTAGTAGTAGTAGTAGTAGTAGTAGTAGTAGTAGTAGTAGTAGTAGTAGTAGTAGTAGTAGTAGTAGTAGTAGTAGTAGTAGTAGTAGTAGTAGTAGTAGTAGTAGTAGTAGTAGTAGTAGTAGTAGTAGTAGTAGTAGTAGTAGTAGTAGTAGTAGTAGTAGTAGTAGTAGTAGTAGTAGTAGTAGTAGTAGTAGTAGTGGTAGTGGTACTGGTAGTGGTAGTGGTAGTGGTAGTGGTAGTGGTAGTGGTAGTGGTAGTGGTAGTGGTAGTGGTAGTGGTAGTGGTAGTGGTAGTGGTAGTGGTAGTGGTAGTGGTAGTAGTAGTAGTAGTAGTAGTAGTGGTAGTAGTGGTAGTGGTAGTAGTGGTAGTAGTAGTAGTAGTAGTAGTAGTGGTAGTGGTAGTGGTAGTGGTAGTGGTAGTGGTAGTGGTAGTGGTAGTGGTAGTGGTAGTAGTAGTAGTAGTAGTAGTAGTAGCGGTAGTAGTAGTAGTACTAGTAGTGGTAGTGGTGGTGGTGGTGGTGGTTTTAGGGTTAGGGTTAGGGTTAGGTCACAGCATCTCACTTCATTAAAAATGCTCTTCTAGTTAGCTCTTTACATATGGACACCACGATATTACGGCCTAATCAGTGGTTTGACTGTACCAACTAAGCTTCTACGCTAAGGAAACTCTTTGCATGAAGGGACACTTTCTGTTCAGGGCGTGTGATTATTTTTGGGACGCATATTGCCCCAGTTTTTGTCAGAATGCATATCTAAAGTGAGGTAAATGTGTAGTAGGCAATCATGCCCTACCCTGTCGCTAGTTTTTCAAGTCACGCACACTGAGAGGTTTTTTACTTAGTTCATCTATTTAACTACAAAGTTCTTCGCCCGGCATAGCTTGCCGTTGGAAATTCTGAAGGAAGATGGAGTCTGCTCTCTCTAATCCCAAATATTAAATTGGTCTTTTAAAATTAACGAAATTCCGCCCTGTAAAATCTTGCCTCATCCCTTACAATTTGATCCTCTTTTTCTCAAATTCCAGCCTCTCAAAATATATTTCAAGAGTTTCTAAAGTTACGGTATTAATTAGATAGGAAGAAGAAGAAATTATCCTCCCATTTGTTCCTGGCTTCACTATTAAATTACTCAGTCATACCTTCTGAGAGCATTTTGAACATGTGGGCCAACATACAGGCACGGATGTTCATCTACAGCCTTTAAGAACTTTCTTTGGACGATGGCCGCTTCCACCAGGTCGATGCTAAATAGTTCCTCTTCTGACATGATAATTTGTCGACTCAAGTCGCCAATATCCTTTAAATGGGAATAAGTTAGATTAGTAAGCAGTTAGAAGTCCAACAATGTTACATATTAGTGGTTGTCTCTGATCAGTGTCCATATCTACAGATTACGTAGACGACCTGATCGGACATCAAGTCTCGACTGCACTGAGAGGTGCTGAAAAGGCTTTTACGAAGTAAAATGCAGCGTCCGTGCCTGTTTCCTTCCTTATGGTTTAATAATTCTTATCATATGATTAATTAGAAATAAATGTTTATCATTTGATTAAAGCCTGCTATCCGTTGAAACGTTATAAACATTCATAATGTCGGCAATATTTGGAAACACCTAAATGTAAACTAGAAAATTTATCTTCAGAAAAAGCTGTTTTATATTCAGTCCAGTGACTCTTCTTTTAACCTCCTATAAAGCTGCAACGTCATGTTTACATGCTTGAGCAGTAACCAAGCCCAACAGCTTCTTTTCTTTTAAACAGTCAAGTTTGAAGTTAACCAGCTATGAAGTCATTAATCACTTATCAAAGAATATGGTGAAGGGCTAACTACAATTATTTCTATGTCCAGTGTATTGAGAACTACAACAGGATATTTAAGACTACATTCTCGGCCTTAGCTACGGTTCCAGAAACAAGAAACATTAAGTCACTTTTGCATTTGACTGATTAGTCCATTCCCCGCTTTTAGTCAGGAAATACGTGATGAAACCAAGTCGGATGATAGTAACTTGAAAACACTTAACATCTGGGCAATTGTCAGACACGGAAGTAAAGGCAGCGTTAGTCTTCCTGTGACATTGTAAAATATATATACTCCTACTACATTTGAAAAGATGAAAAAACAATCGTCCTACATCAGTTCACAGATATAGAACAAACTACGGCTTTCTACGGTGTCTTAATTTTAAAAAAGCTCCCCCGCTTATCAAATTCTATATAACATTTACGTTTGCACTAGTGCATCGTCTTCCGATTGCGAGGTTAAATTTAATGTGCTTTTAGTATCCCTGTTTGCAATAAGGCAATTACCCCATTCCCTACTGCCTTATAATAATAATAATAATAATAATAATAATAATAATAATAATAATAATAATAATAATGGAATTTATATAGCGCTTATACATCGCTGTTCTAAGCGCTTTACAATGTAAAAAAGGACATAAGAATATCATTAATCACAAGTTTACATATAACACTACTGTACATATTGGGGAATTTATAGCATACACATCTTAAAAAAGAAAGGAAACAAAAACAAATATAATGAAACTAAATGTCATGTACCTTTTTAAAAAGAAACGGTTTCAACTTAGATTTAAAATAACATCAGAACAAGCTCGAATTTCAAAGGGGAGCTTGTTCCATAGTCGGGGGCAGCAAACCCTGCTATATCCACTAACTTACTGGAAGTTACAAAACTTTCAAACAGTGCTTGATGGAAAGAACTGGGAAAGCGCTGAAACTGTGCTCGAAGATTTACAAACCCGCTGCGGAATTACGCCGTGATTGGACACACTTTTGCCGGGAATTATGGTATGAACCCCTATCCGACCCCTAACTTTAGAGATTGGCGTAGCGCAGTTTCGCTCTGTCACAAAAATCGCGCCAAAATCACCCTTTATGTGTGTGAAGCCCTATCCAGTGTGATTTTTGTGGTGGCGCTAAAGCTATTCTGTATAGTGTGAACGGTAAACCTAGCCTAAGTAAAATACTATCGCATTCAACTACTGACAAAGCAGGTTCTCGACGAACATTCACTTACCAGTGTAACTCTAACTAACCTAACAGAGAATTAACTATTTACAATCAGCGATTTCTAATTGAACCTAAAGTGAGTAAATTTTCTTTAAGGCAATAGAAGTTCTACAAATGTATAAGTGAATGGAACGTTTGTCTTGCCTACCTTCTTGTTTGCCTTTTGAAACCCTGTTACTTATCTTCAAACTGTCCTCACAGCATCGCATCGGGACACGAACTGACAGTGTGGTATTAATTGTGCGAAGCAAGGGAGAGTTTTACGTATGACCAACCATTTACAAAAACAATATTGAATTGTGCTGCGGAACCAATAACACCAGCTCAGCATGTTTCAGAGTCGGTTTCAGTTGTCATTAATCAAAGAAGGTTGAGACATGACGATGCAAATGTTGTCAATGTTTGCCACTAATTTTCTTATACGTAAAAGATCCTTGCTTTTTGAAAGGTAGCATCTCAAGCTGACTATCTGTTGTATTGTATTTTATTCATTTGGCTAGGATTCGGCTATTTCCAGTCGGCAATTAAAGAGGAATCAAAGTCAAACAGCAAATACACCATTTAGCTTGTTTCCCCTCTGGGCAATTAAATTTTTATTTAAGAAAGTCTGTAAAATGCCAATATTAGCCCGGTTTAATAAGCCGCAATATCAAGTGGAGTAAAAACACAGGCTTACGGTATGTGCACGGTTTTGCACATTTTTTCACGTTCGTTCTGTGATCTATGATAGAAGAGACAATGGAACGATGATAGCCATCTTGGATTCCACAAAAAATAGAGATGGAATTTAACCATTTTGCATTTTTTGAAGAACAAGGATTCGAACAGCCCTCACTTTTGCTCAAAACATGTTATGAACTGACTGAACTCATGCATTTACAGCTGTATAACTTATGACGTCATCACATCACCAGGTTAACTACCGTTTGCAAACCTAGACATTTTTATTGACAATTATTAGGGCCAATACGGTTGGGTTTTATGAAAATGTTAAAATACCTAGATTCAACTGATCATTTTACGTTTCTGAGAAAGCTGCACACCTACCTCTCCCCAAAGCCAACATCAACACTTACTTCTCACTTAGGGAAAATTGTTGGCTTAGGAGAGGGGTAGGTGGACCGTTTCCCAGAAACGTATATGATCCGAAAATAAGTCACAGGTATGATTGGGAATGAAAACAAAAAATAACAAGAAACTACCAATTCGTTCCCAGTTGGACAATTTTTCTATTTTGTCCTTTTTAGCTTGATTCATAAACACGTGAAAGGTAGCCTGTTTCAGGGTTGAAGATAACGAGGAAGAAGTGGATCGACGAAAACCGCTGAGGGGTGAGGAGAGACGGAGTAGTGGACCGTTTTCGATCGGGTACTATTTCACGGCTCCCTCGCTTTTTTCGTCTACACTGACCGAGAGCATGGTAGGCACAGGCTAAGACCTTGTTGGCTCAGAAACTTAGTTTGATTGATGAAAGCTTGTGCTGTAAGAGTTGCTCCTGCGACCACATTTTCCCTTAATTTGACACTTTATTATTACTGAAAAGTGCAACAGGTTTTCTATTACAAGTTGCAACAAAGTTACATGGCATTGCATTATTGGGAAGTAAAAATGACTAACCTTTTACAGTCTCAGTCATATTCATATAGAGCCTGGCTTACAAATAATTAAGGTTCATGTACCATGAAGTTTATTTACTAAACTAACTATTGTTACCTTTGCTTAGCTTTAAGAACAACCCATTTAATTCTCTTCTTTGACATTTATCATAGGATGTCGCAGGAAGAATTAAGCAACATTTAAGTTTCCTTGCGACACGCTTTGTGGTTTATATCTCTTGCTTAAAAAATTGAATCGAGGAACATTGCTTTGTTTTGCATATTCAACTGAGAATTAAAAATTACCCAAGAAATTAATATATACATCCGTCTAAAATTGTTTCCCTCCATCAACCTCGATCCAGCTCCCTTTGCAGGTATTTTAACAACAATGTAAAAAGTAATATGCTACTTTTAGCCTTTCTGCATTTAATATAACTAGAAAATAATCACCCCTTGTTACCACTATTTTAGTGGTAGTATTCATTTTTATCCGCAATGTACAATACTTCCTATAGTATCTCTACCAGAGTCAAATATGAAGAAATGTACATGTAATTAATTCATGCAAAATTGTCCAGGTTTGTAGATTTCGTCTACCAACACGAGAACGATCGTTAACCAACACACTTGTAACAGTCTTCTGAGACTGGATAATTTCGGAAGGGGTAAGTGTTGCAGAGATGTCAACCTCCGGAGATGCAATATCTGGAGACTCTCTATTATGTACTACACTCCCGGCCCCCTTCCCCCCAAAATGTCAAAAGCCCCACCACCTTCCATCCCCCCCTGCAAACGAACTGACATTTTTTCTTTTTATCATGACAATAAGCAACGAAGCAAGTTAAATTAAGCACTAATAGTGGGCCATGCTCCAGTTAACCTGTCGATTGGAGGAGTACGCTTCACTTAGAAATTAGCACGTATGGTAGAGGGCAGCGCAAAGAAATGCAGTTGAACCTCTCGACAAGAACCATCTTGAGGACGGATGTATAAAGCAATTTCGAGAAAAGTTGTCGGAAAAAGTGCACGCGAAAGTCCCGAAAGGCATTGTGGGTGGTTTTGAGTTTACTGTTCTTAAAGTAAATTTGGAAGAATAGCACGGCAGGCCATGGACTTGGCAAGTTCTAAAACAAAACAACAAAAGTAGGTACGACAGCTACAAGGTCAGGAACAGTCTATTGATCACAGTCCACTTAAGTATTACCTTTCGGGATTGTCGGCTGCACAATTTTCCGACAACCTTTTTCGAAAAAGCTGTAAATAACCGTTGTAGAGAGGAAACCCTTGTGGAGAGTCACGAGTGTTATGTAAACCAGTTCAGTTTGTAGCAGGGGAATAGGTTAAATAGTTTGATTGCTCTTGGAAATTTTGCGCGCAACTTGACAAGTCAGCTATCTGCTAGCACAGAGATAACTAACGTATCTGTAGGTTGCGCCGAGTTTCAAATTAATTGTAGGCTATTTGCCAATGAGAAAGCAGATATTTAGTGCATTGTATAATAATGCTTATAATATATGTCTTTTGCTGGGCAAAATTCTTTGTTTACCTTATTGTAGGGGTACTAAATAAGGAAGTATGAAAGCTATGTTTTTTTTCAACCTTTTAAACTCCTTCTTTGTGTCGAGATTCATCTCTCCTAGATTTCATTTTTGGTTACGGCCTCATTTCAATCCAAGATTACACAAACGTAATTGCAAATATGCTATTTACTGCAAAACATGAATACGAAACCCGCTTAATATTGTCTATATTCGACAATAAATAGAAATTATTTGTCAAATACTTGAAAGAAAGAATTTTGAAATTGTATCAGAAGTATTAGCTGAAGAGGTACGAAAGACAAACGTTTTCTCCTAAGAAACGATCTTTCTATAATTGCTTCTTTTAAATTAGTGAGGCTTTTGCCCGAATTGCCCCCTTAGGTCTCACCGATCTTTCAGAAAGGAATTTCCATGTGTATTTATTGGATTTAAAACACAAAGTCTAAAACCTTTTGAGATTTAATCACCACAACCCCCGCATCCGCCATCTCTGTCACTGCCGCCATCTCCGTCACCGCCGCCATCTCTGTCACCCCCGCCTCCGTCGACACCAAAACCGCTGCTCCCACACGTATTGCAACCACCGCCGGCATCCACCACACCCACCAAATTCACGATTATCGCGCCGTCTCTGAAAGTAAAGACAATATACCCCGCTGCTTCAACAAGCTTCATGTCGATATTGTCTATCCTACGTGGCTTCGCAAACCGGTTGGTTTGAGTGTAGTATGGTTTATATGGCTGGCAAAGGATGCGAAGCTTGACAATTACAAACCCTAGTGTTATTGACTCTAAGCAAACCCAAACAAAGCAGCAATAAAGCTTCGATTCACCGACCGCATGTGAGTGATTTCGAACAAAATACACTTATTAAAGGTATGACACTGTTTTCCCCCGATAATTCGATAGCCTCTGTTTTTACAGACGTCTTTGAAAGGAAATAAAGGGCAAATACTTAGCTGATTTCTACAGCGTATTTAACGAATATTCGTCCCCACAGTCGCTTCCTGCAACATGTTCACTCCTCGCCTTCTTGATCGCAGTGCGCAAACCGCCCGGGCAAATGTGAAGGTGGATGAGTCACGACAGTAAGTCTAATAGAGGTTTGGTCATCAAACCAAAATTCATGTTTCTTTACGTCAGTTTTGACGAATTCTCTCGGGATGCCGTCAAGATTACAAGGAATATTAAAGCATGTTCTGACGGGATCAGGTGAGTGCTTCAAACAAGACATCGAGTCTCGACGTCGACGGCAAAAACTTGCCTCTACCTGTAGGGAGTGATAAAGTTCGTTAAATGAAAATTTATTAACTGTTAACCATCATAGGCCTACTTGGAATTGATTGAGCTATTAATGCCTGACNCAAACCGGTTGGTTTGAGTGTAGTATGGTTTATATGGCTGGCAAAGGATGCGAAGCTTGACAATTACAAACCCTAGTGTTATTGACTCTAAGCAAACCCAAACAAAGCAGCAATAAAGCTTCGATTCACCGACCGCATGTGAGTGATTTCGAACAAAATACACTTATTAAAGGTATGACACTGTTTTCCCCCGATAATTCGATAGCCTCTGTTTTTACAGACGTCTTTGAAAGGAAATAAAGGGCAAATACTTAGCTGATTTCTACAGCGTATTTAACGAATATTCGTCCCCACAGTCGCTTCCTGCAACATGTTCACTCCTCGCCTTCTTGATCGCAGTGCGCAAACCGCCCGGGCAAATGTGAAGGTGGATGAGTCACGACAGTAAGTCTAATAGAGGTTTGGTCATCAAACCAAAATTCATGTTTCTTTACGTCAGTTTTGACGAATTCTCTCGGGATGCCGTCAAGATTACAAGGAATATTAAAGCATGTTCTGACGGGATCAGGTGAGTGCTTCAAACAAGACATCGAGTCTCGACGTCGACGGCAAAAACTTGCCTCTACCTGTAGGGAGTGATAAAGTTCGTTAAATGAAAATTTATTAACTGTTAACCATCATAGGCCTACTTGGAATTGATTGAGCTATTAATGCCTGACTTTTAATTAATTTAATTGCATAGATTAAAACTTTTTTCATTCATGTAGCTAGCAAAAGAAAAGGGAAACCTTGGCCTCATGCAAACGGTTGACATGGTGGTTACCACTTTAGTGTTATGTCTTTTCCGTGCTTGAGTGAAAGGTATCTTAGTCTGTGTTTACGGAATCACTAAATTTTGACGAGCTCTCGATGTCATTCGGTCTGGAAAAAAACACTCATCTGTCACTTTTATTCAAACAAAGTCTTATTCATTCATAAATATTCAAAAGGACATACTCTTACTGGGTACTCGGTAGATGGATGTTTGCTTAGTTCATTTTAAATCCTTAAGAAGAAAAAAGGCTCTCTACCTGGATAAAATTACTTCTGCTTGTATCAAACTCAAACGTGATTAGATGACGATTTCCTGAACTTTGGTGAAAATAAGCAACTGGCCCCTTAGTTTTTTTGCTGAACGGTTTTCCACCAGCACCAAAACTTCCACGCAAACTTATTTGGACTAAGTATAATTTCGGCTTTGGAAGACCATGAATCTCTACTTCGCAAACATCCACAAAGTATCTAAATCTTACTTTTCCCATTGAGGAATAATCGATGGGGTTACGATTTTCAGCAATGTTCAAAGGAGGTTCCCCTCGAAACATGGCTCCATTCGTCCCAGAATTCATGCCAAAATCCTTCCATATCTTTATTGCAGCTTTCGCAAACGTTACAAGTTTAGGACCTGGTGGACGATCGTTTACAGAATCATCATCATGGTTTAGGACTCTTCCCAGGATTTTCATGGTGTCCGTCCTATAGGCCAGCGGATGAACTTGGTGCGCATGCCATATAAGGTCAAAGTCGCAACACGGGACCAAAAACGTATTCAGATTTTGTTGTTTGAGCCTCAAATGATGTTTATATCGTATAAGTGCATCTCTAAGAAACGTTTCGTCCCCATAATGTGGTAAGGAAACCTTATAATTAAAGACCCTCTGACGACTGCATGCAGCCACTATATCATATTGGATTCTTGACACATGAGGCATCTCGTTACCAACAGGGGCTGGCAGGTCAACTTCAAAAGGCTCATTGCCGTACAGTTGGTGCCATAAGAGCTTCGCCCTTTGAAGTCCAGCCTCGCGCTCACGAGGAGCCGCAAGCAGTAAAATTTCTGTCCCGTTTTTTTAATCAGTGAAATCATCAAAGTTGACAGGTCTTTCTGATGATCAAAGCGACCGTTCAGTTTACCATTTACACCTTCAGTGCGAAGACTGTCACGGGAACATTAACACCTTCAGGATAATTGCTTACCATAACAGTGGTAGGTCGCGCTCGTCTGGTCGGTTTCGAAGAACGTGATCGTGACTGTTGTTTTCATTCAATGGCTGTGCGCGTTGATATGCCAACGTTTAAAACAGACTGCAACATTAAATTTTTGTTATAAAAGCAAAGAAGCTGCTGAGTAGAAACTAAACCGTCCCAGACTTATTCCGTTTCATTCGTGTACTTTCATTTTGATGGGGTCTGTAT